CCTTGTCATTTACTTTTATGCAAGTTAAGGTTATGCGTTTAAGATCCTCGCCATTTACATTTCTGCAATTTCGATTTCCTACTATTTACATTTCCACAATTTCGATTCTCTGCCATTTACACTTAATGCAAATTTGAGGTTTCCGCATTTTACATTTCTCTGCAATTTAATATTCTGCACTATTTTTTTATTCGACATTTTTACTGCTTTCTTTACTTTGCGTTTTTTAATAAAAAATACCACAAATAGTACGTTCGATTGTCAATCTGTATGATATGTTGCGATGTTAACATTTATCAATACTATGGTATTTTCGATTTTCATACATGTTTCGATTGAAAAATTAGTTGCTAACCTAAGTTAAAAAAATCTGCGTGGTTGAAATTTGGTTAGAACTTAAGTTTCCGAGAAATCGAAATCGATCAAATTTTCGCCAGAAACAGGATGATACGGATGAATTAATCCGCGACTGAATATCATGATCAATAATATTAATAATTATTAATCGATATATCTCTTAATAATTATTGATAAAAATATATTTATAATTTTTTCATTAATATATTTATCGACTAATGAAATAAATCTCTTCGTAAATTTTAACAATAATATAATTATCTATCAATTTTAATTCTCAATTATATATATATATATATATACATTTTTTTTTATGGACGAATGTTTATAGTTATCAACGAACCATCAATAATTTATTTTTTTTGTAAATATGTAAATACAGAAATTAATAAAAAATTACGGTACAATTTGTATTCAAAATTTTGGATGACCAATTGTGTGAAGCGTTGCTGGGATGACGAAATAAACAAATAATTAATTAATCTTTCTATTATAAAATATAATATAGACATTATTTTTAACATTTATAAAATAATAATAATAAAATGATATATTATGGAATTAAACTTCCTTTTAAGTATCATATAAAGCAATCAAAGCGAAATTAAGTTTTAAAAAATAACATTAAAACTAGTTTAAGTTTTTTTAATCAAAATGTTATATATATATATAAGCATTTTCAAAACAAAATATTTGATATGTTTTGAAAAAATAAAAAAAGTGCACCAAATACTACCTACTACAATAAGTTTTCACATTATATATTCGTAGAGAAAATAGTCATTTGGTGTATTAAAAAACTCCCATGAAATTACTTATACATACCAATATAACGACCACGAATAAAGTTGAGATTAAAACCAATTAAAATGTGATCACACGCTTTATTGTTATTATTATTTCCTTTTTATAATATTTTTAAAATTAGGCATTTTCAATAAAATAATTAACATAAGGTGTTTTTTATCTCTAAAACTAAAAAAATAAGAATTTATGATATTACATCATTTTTAAGTAACTTAGTTCATTTTTCCTCAGTTAGAAGTTTGATTTGCTTGTTTTTTTAAGTATCTCCAACGAGAGTTACTTATGAAGATGTTTAATTAAAATATTAGTTACTTAAAATAATTTTTCATTGAGAAAAATTTATGTGACATAATAAGTGTTTATTTTTTTTTATATAGTTGTTTCATCAAACAACTTACAAAAATAAGCAAATCAAAGTAAATAAGAAAAGATAATGAATTTTTTAAAATTTATTAAGAAAAATAGTTTTTAATAAGAGTTGTTTAAGAATAAAATAAAATATTTTATTATGAATTGCACTTTTGAGTTGTTTAAAACTTGGTAGTAACTCAAATGTTAAACCTATAATAAAATATTAAGTTTTATTCCTAAACAACTCTTGGTAGTAACTACCTTTTGAGAGACATCTTCAAAGGAGATTTTAACTAGAGTTACTTAAGAATAAAATTGAATATTTTATTATGTGTCTCACGGTTGAATTGCTTAAGATATGATCAGAGTTGCTTATCCAAACAACTTTTTTTCAATTTTAAATAACTTAAATGTGAGACCCACAATAAAATCTTCATTTTTATTCCTAAACCATTTTTGGTAGCAACTCTCATTGGATATGCTCTAGTGGAATAAAATCAACATTGAGTTATTTGAAAATGATATGTCATCATAAATCTTTCTTTTATATTAGGTAAAATAATGTGGGATCATAAATCCATATTTTACACTTTTCAATGTAAGAAACAATTCATGTAAGTTACTCCTATTAGAGATGTTTGATAAAATAATTATAAGAAAAAGTTAAACACTTATCATGCCACATGAGATTGTTCAAATAGTAAATTACTTTAAATAACTAATATTTTATTTAAGAATCTCAATAAACAACTTGCATTAAAGATGCTCTTATATTCTTACATAGGATCTTGATCATTAATTTTAAAATGATCAAATAATATATTATTAATAAATAATAAATAAATATGAAATGATGAAAGATCAAATTTGTAAATATATAAGCATATATATATATTTAGGGCATATTCAATTAGAGCAACTTACATTAATTGTTTCTCACCTTAAAAAAATGTAAAAAAAATTATGATATCACATCATTTTTAAGCAATTTCACTATTGAATTTATTCTATTAGAAGTTTCTTAATAAAATTTAAAAAAATTCATTTTCTCTCTTTATTTACTTTAATTTGTTTATTTTTATAAGTTAGTTAATGAAATAACTATAAAAAAATGTAACCACTTATCATACCATATAGTATTCCTCCAATAAAAATTTATTTAAGTAATAAAGCAACTTCTATTAAAAATACTCTTAATAATTATTAAATTTGGAGTGACTAAAATCATAAATTTTAATATAAGTTACAAAATAACAAAAAATTATGTAAATTAAAAAAATTTAAAACAAAACAATTATTAAAGAATACGAGTGTTGAATAACTGATTTTATGCTAAAATAAATAAATTGAGACGAAATTTTTTATAGATAAAATAAATATTATATTGTAGAATGACGGTAATTTTTTCTGTAAATTTATAATAATCATTAAATCATTACTTAGTTTTAGGACTTACATCAGATCTGAAATGAAAATTTATCGGTGGGATTATTTTTTATTTTTTTTATCGTATACAGGTTAAAAAAAAATATAGTGAAAGTTCTAAAAATATTGTGCTAAAATGCTTTAAGAGCATATTAAATGTAATGGTATTGTAACACCCCCTCGTGATTCTGTGAGTAAATCCTAAAATGGTTAGTTATTTTAATCATGTGTTTACTTAACAATCATATTTTATAAATTTCATTTTTATAATTTTTATTTGCACCTCTTTAATTTTTAAATTTTCATTTATTTCATATAATCCATTTTTGTTATTCTTAAAACTCCTGTTTTAAATTCATAACTTTTTATTAAACATTTTTTTATAATTAGAGTGTCCAGATATGTTAATCCGATGGATTAAAAAAAGAGGTTAAATAAAAAAATATTATTTAAATTAAATAAAAAAATTTAAATTGATAATAGATAACCCAATTTATAAATAATAATTATTTTAAAATAAAAACATAAGTACTTTTAAAAAAAAACATGTATATATATATATATATATATTCTAAAATAATTAAATAAAAAATTAATTATACTAATAATAAGTCTTTAATATTATTTAATTTAATATTTAATAACTAAAATATTGTTTTTATTAAATTAATAAATAATAATAGTTTAAATAATACTTAATTAAATATTAAAAATATTTCTATAACATTTTTTAAAAATAATAAATAATTAAATATAAATATTTATTTATTTAAAAAATTATCCATATAATTATTATTTTATTTTTATTAATAAAATAGTTTTTTAAAATAATAAATTTTAAATTAATGTATATTTTTCAATAATATGTAATTTGATATATAATTATAAAATACTTTTTGTTATAAATTATTTTTTTAATTATTTAAAATTAAATTAATAAAAAAATTTATTTTTTAAATAAATAAAAAAATATATTAGTTATAATCACTATCATTATATATATATATATATATATATATATATATATATTAAAATTATAAACATAAATAATTATTTCAATAAAGATAACTAATAAGGATAATATATATGTATATATTTATATTAATAAAAAAATATTTTTTATTTGTACTTTTCTATTAAGGACGAAAATTGTATATTAAATTCAATATCCATCTAACTAAATTCTATAAAAATATTAAATAAATTTAGTATCAATAATAAGAATAACATAATTATCGTTAAATCTATTTAGTTATTTTAACTGAATATATTTTAAATTATTAAAATATTAAACAATGTAATATAGTTTGAGAAACTATTATAATCTTTATATATATATATATATATATATATATATATATATATATATATATATATATATATATATATTAAAACAAAAATCAGTGACCAAGTCAGCTAACATGATGAAGAATCTATTGAACTAAATCGAATCTAGTAATAAAAAAATGCATTGTAAAAACATTATGAAATAAATTTTACAATTGCATTATCAAATAAATATTACAAATATTTTATTAAATTGTGTGACGAATTTAACCAAAATTAATCATTACAATTCAAACTTACAGAGATGAGTTTGATCACGTGATTCAATCCAATCCACACTCACTGGTATCTTGACACCAACCTTCTCTGGTAGAAAAAGGTTATTCTAACAGAAAAAATAAATCTAAAAGAAAAAAACAGTGTAGAAGAGTATACATAAAGGCGAAAAGAAAACCTTTTTACACAAAGATGGAATAATTGGATAGGTTGGTGTTTGGCTTCAAATGCAAGCCGTTACTAATTCTAATTACCATCATCAACAACAATACGATGTTTCCCAATATGAATTGACGCGAATAGCCACACGAAAGACGCGTTAGTGCGTTTCTCTTCCCGAGAGAAACACTTCTTTTCCGTGACCACCCACCACAACCTCCTTGTCCTTTCTCGTCATTTTACCATTTACCTTTTTCCCTCTCACTCTCACCTATTTAGTTATCTTTTCCATCCTTTCATTGCATTGCATAAGTTTTCTGGTTCGCTCGCTCGCGTTTATGGCGGAAGAAGAATCCAGTACTGGATCCCCTCACTCTCTCAAGAACAGCCTCAGATCCTCCCTCTGTTTCTCCTGTTGCTTCCCTCACCATCGCGTGAGGCCCAAAATCGTTCGAAGCGCGTCCCTCCACAACAAGCCACGCTCCTCAGATTTCCCCTTCCCGCAACTCAAGGAAAAGTGCTGCAACTTCATCAAACGCATCGGCGGCCGCCACCGCCGCCGCCACTCCGCCGATTTCCACTACGATGCACTTAGCTACGCGCTCAACTTCGAAGACGACGCCTCCGACGAGAGGTCCGTCGACGACCTCAAGAGTTTCTCCGCCAGATTGCCGGCGTCTCCGCCGCCGAATGCCTCGCCAACTCCCGCCGTAACCGCCACCGCTTGAATCAAGACCTGTGGTGGTAGATCTGAAAAAATGCGACGATAGGAAGCGAAACGGCGTTGCGGCGTCGTTTTGGAATTTTTTTTATTTGTTTTTTTTGTTTGTTTGTCTTTAATTCGCTTTTGTAGATAACGTCATTGTAAGATCCAACAACAGAGAAGTGCAATGCAAAAAAGAGGAATATGAAAAAGCAGAAAAGAAACGATGAGAAAGGTTAAAAGTGCAAAAGTGATGATGATGGCGTGTTTTTTCCTTCGCCTGCGCCTCCCTTGTCTGTTAGTTGGATATTTTGTGTGCATAGAAATTTGAGAAAATAGTGTGAAATCGAAGGCAGAGATGTGGTGGAGTCCTAACTGAATCTCTGACAGATGACGACACTATTCTCTTTTGTCTTCTTCTTGTTGCAAACGGTTTTGCGGACACTGCCATACTAGGATTTACCACATTTCTTTGCCCATCATTTTTTCCGAAAAATGCTTGGCCCATGAATTCACCATTTTTTTATTTATATTAAAATATATATTTAAAAAATAAAACTAAAACCTCTTTTCAATTCAGAATAAATACGAGTGTGAAAAAGCGGGAAGAATATTTTGTAGGAACCAAAAATATAAGTTGACATTTTTTTTTAAATAAACATTCGTTCTATTACCCACTTTAATAATAAAATATTAATGAATATTAATAAAGTTTTTAAATTTATAAATTTATTATTATAAATAAGTATAGATTGAGAGTAGAGATGAATAGTGGTATCAACTAATCCCTGTACTTGTAGAATCTCTTGACTAATACAATCTAATAATATTATTACAATAGATGGAAATCATAAATGTTTGCTTTTAGCATTTTTTTTTAACTAAAGCGGAAACTTCCAAAGCTTAAAAAAATAGAGTATGTGACGTATTTTAAGGTAATATTTTGACGAATTTTGTTCCATTTGTTGAAATAAAAAATTAAAAACACGTGTGCAATTAGTATATTTTAGATTTCTAAAGTTTTATTTAAAGGGATGTTTATTTGGAAGAGATACAAAATTTTCATACCGCTATATCACAATTATTAAAAATAATTACATTTTTATTGGTTGACTAAAACTATGTTAAAAGTATTTATATATTTTAAAAAAATGATAGATAAATATTTAATTTTATCAAAATCTTTAATTATTTTACTATGTTAAGATATGTTTTTAATAAACAAATTTAATTTAACTTGGGAAAATTCGTTTTTACCTCACCATAAGAATGCTTTGGAAGAAAACTTAACTAAAAACCATTTTTGAAAAACCTTGTTTTTTTTTAACATGTAAAAAATAAATCAAACATAAGAAATACACTTTCCCAACTTTTTATTTTAAAAACTAAATTTTTATTTCTATAAAACCATCCAAAATCGTCAAAACCCTTTAATCACTCTAAGAATAGTAATGTTTTGAAGAGTTGTAATTTTTTATTTCCCCATTAAGTAATTATAAAAATAATGAAGGCTTATTTTAAGATGTTTGTTTTTTTTTACTTGTTAGTGTAGTAGATGATTTATTTTTGTAGTAATTACTAACAGTGGATCCTACTGCAAAAAAATTAATAATAATAATAATATATATATTAGTCTGGAATATGATAAACTGTGACAGATAATAAAATATTCTAATTAACATGACAGACTATAAAAATTAAATATTGAAATTTTAAATTGTTGTTTTCACACTTGATATGGACCTTATAAATGCCCCAATGAGTAATATGTGATATTGTGTTCACATAGTAATTTGCCTGGGAAACTGCTCCTCTATTTACTGAAAAATAGTGATCATGGGTGGAAAATAACAATTAAATTTTTTCAACAGAGCGAGACTAACGATGATTGGTGAAAGATGAAGTTCAACAAACAAAAGTTAAGGAATTTAACCATTATTTTTAGGTTGCTTATGTATTAAAGAAAAAAAAAGTGTGAAGAAAAACAAATAAAATTAAAAATGAAATAAGTTGGAAAGTATTTTTGTTCTTTTTAATAAGAAACATGAAAATAAAAAATATTTATTTTAAAAAATAATAAATAATTAAATTAAACTTAAATATTATTTTATTATTTATATAATTTATTAAATTTTTTATTAATAATATAAATTTATTAAAATGACATCTATAAATTATATATCTATTTTTCTTATAATATATATTTTAATATATAATTATAAAATTAGTTCTTAATTATTTAAACTTAAATTAATAAAATAATATCATATTACAATCAAATAAAAATATATAAAATTATTATTTTAATTTTTGTAATAAATTTTCATATTTATGATATTTTATTAAAATGATAATAATTTTATTAAAAGTATATATATATATATATATATATATATATATATTAAAATTATAAGTTTAGTTTTATGAAATAATATTTTTTATTTTTTTATGCTCACAGAAAATGTCTATTGTGGAAAGTGACATTTTTTTTTATTATCGAACAAGAAAGTTTATTATTTTCCGTTAATTGATCTATATTTATAATTTTCACTTTTCTTATAAATTAACAAAGTCTTAGAAAAAGTTCAATATTATTTTTTTGACTTATTTCAAATAATTAATAATGAAAAAATATAAAAATATCACTATTTATTATTTTGATGTTGTGAATACTTTTTCAATAAAACATTGGGTTCTTATAAGTTGGTTGCAGTCAATTCTAACCCAACCATTGAGATAATAAAATAGTTTACATAAGTTTATATGTTTCTGCTATGATTCATGTTGTTCCATAATAGTGAATAATAATAATAATAATAATAATAATAATAATAATAATAATAAAACTGTTCCATAAGCATAACTATTTGAAGAAATTAGGTTTTTCAAATGAATTCATCTATTTTTTTACAATATATTTTTTATATAAATTAGTTTTAATTTATCTTGATTTTTTTTCCTACTATAAGCCTTGTAGTGCCTGTTCAGACAAATATTTTCATAACATCTTGTAAAAAATAATAAGAAAATTAATAAAATAAACTTCTCTAATAATTGAAATCAACTTATAAGTTAATTTATATAATTCTTTCTTTAAATCATTATGACGAATAAACTTTTTGGTGTTTATAATAAATGTAAAGAATTTTGAATCCATATAAAAACTATTTTTCAATTGTACATTATTAAAGTTATATATTTATCAACATAGATGATGATTATTTTTCGATCAATGTGAATAAGGGTTATATTTTGGTCGACATATGTATCGACATGGATAAGAATTATTTTTTATTCATATTAGTGAGATTATTTATTTAAGTTAGGTGAAAAATATTATTTTTATTAATATAAGCGATATTATTTTGAATGAATGTGATGAATATATTTTCACGGGGACATTTTTGTGATTATTTATTGATTGATGTTTATAAAAAAGAATATATTATGGTTAATGTGACTAATATATATTTTTCTAAAATTAATAAGAAGCTTCATATATTTTTTTAAATGTTGTTTTCTATGCCCATAATTTTTTTAACCTATAATTAAATTAAATTTCATTTTATCTTCACACTTATTTTTATCATTTATCAGTATTTATTTTTTTATTTTGTTTAATAGCTGATTCTTAAGTTCTATTACAACATTTTTATTCTCTTTTCTCCTATTCTTCCAAAAAATTATGTAAGAATGTCAAACATTTTTTTTTTTTTATCAAATTTGTACATGTCCAGTATTTATGCATCAAGTTTTTTTTGGCTGAAATCATATTGCAGGGATTAAAAAAATTGGAAGTTAAAAAAAAAATGTTCTAGAAAGTACTTTTTGAAATATATTTCTAAAATTAATTTTTTGAAAATATATTATGGAAATTGCATTATGAAATATATTTTCGGAGTCACCAATTTAATATACATTTCTAGAAATCAATTTTGGAAATATATTTTGGAACACACTTTTCATAATGTATTTTTATAATTGATTTTTTAGAAATGTATTCTAAATCAATCTTTTCGGAATTGATTTCTAAAAATGTATCCACCCACCATATCAGTATTCTAAAATAAGTATTTTGAAATGTGTTTTTGGAAAAGCCAATCTAAAAGTATATTTCGGATTGGGTATTATGGAATTTAATCTTATTTTTGTAACAGTATTTTAGATTGAACAATTTGGGTATGTTTGTTTAATTTGAGTATAGAAAAATATAATTTATATATAATATTAACGATTACTTGTTTTTATTTATTAGTAAAAATCTTTAATAGAGGTGATAGTAAAAAAAAATTAAATAAATAAAAAATAAAGATGTAAAAGTTGTACACAAATAAAATAAAAAGAAATTAGAATAAAAAATAAAATTATAAAAAATATATTTTAAATATTTGACTTGATTTATGAGGTGAGTGAGAGAAAATGGAAGAGCCTTTTCGAATGCATGCGTTTGGAGTCTGGGTTTTCGGCCCGATACTAATTGGGCCCCGGAGATAATGCATCATTTTTTTTAGTAGATTGCTTGAACTTCCGAATGAAGTATATATCTTTAACCCAGATTAAACTGTTATAAATAATTGAGTTATATAGTTTCCTATTTTACTTAAATTCATATTAAAAAATAATCCCGGATCAAAATTTTTAATATTGATTTGATTATAATTTGTTTCAAAATAAATATTGTTTATTAGCTTTTACCAATAAAATACATTTACTAATTAATTAACATTGTTTAAGGGATTATAAATTTGAAATTTAAAAGTATAATAATATTATCTCTTCTTGATACTATATATATATATTTTATATTCTTAAATTTATGGATTTAAACATACTGCTGTAAATATACATTAAAATAAGAAAGAAAACAGTAACCACCTTATTCAGAAAAATCACATGCACAATTAGTATCAAGTAATAAAATTTTTAAATTACATCAATAGAAAGTACGCATTTATTTTGCAATTATTGCAATTGTAAGAAAAATAAACAAGAAGTAGCTTTATATTTAAAAATAGATTTGGGATT